AGAGGCCATAGAGAAAAAAAATTCAAAAAAAAAAAAAAAAAAAAAAGGAACAGTCATGCCCATCCCTGCCATGTGTAATCCCTCTGTCCCTGGTGATACCAAGCCCCTTCTCCTTACAGTTCCTATATTTTCAAGATCAGTGCCATCTCTGACTGTGAAAGGACACGTTTCTCCCTGGGTACTGTGGAATTCAGGAAGAGGCCATTGATGCCAGAGTGACTGTCCTCCTGCCCTGGGCACCCCTCAGCCCGGCAGCTGCCTCCATCTCCGGAGCGTGGTCAGGCCGCCCTGTCCCGGGATGGAGTACACGAGCACAGGACCCCCCCACACCTCCCGGGAATTACCTCACTGCACATGACCTGGTGAAAGAGACATTTCCTACTATCGGGCACAAACTTTCCAGCTCTACGAGCTGACAGGTTTCAAGGCGATGGAAAAGAAAATTTTTTAAGCAATTTAAGTCTTACTTAAATTTTGCTACTCTATGCTTGCTAGGACAGAGGAAAAATACAAAAAGGAGAAACAAGAATAATTAAGACTAGACAACACTGGGGACATTGTGATTAATAAATGCGGATGAAGATCACTGCTGCCCAGATCCCGTCTGTGTGTCACAGTCGGTGCTCAAGGCTCTGCAGGCTTTCCCTGCTGTCATCCCCAGACAAGCCTCTGAGATAGGGCCATATTAGCTGTACAGAGAATAGAGCCGTGGGCGGGGAAGCTGCCTGCGCAGGTCACACAGCTTGGATTGGAACTCACATCCATGGACTTCAGAACCCACCCTCTTCAGTGAACTTCATATTTTGCTTTCCATCTCGTTTATATTCTGTCAGGATTTGGTTGGCTGAAGTTTCTTTAGAATTGAGAAGCCTTTTATATATCTGTGCATATCAACTTTTGTCTTCAAATCTCTTATCTCTTCTGATCTGGCTTCATCACAGCATTTCCCATTAATACCACCTCATCTTTTTTACAGAGTGGAAATAAGGTGTCAATCACTACCACCCCATTTGAAAACACATCAATCAAAACAGGACCAGCCAGGAGAAACAGCTACAAGAGCAGGATGGTGAGGCGGAGCAAGAAATCTAAGAAGAAAGAAAGTCTAGAAAGGTTGGTGAAACCAGTCTTCTTTGTGAGTTTGGTATATACACTTAGCAGAGAAAAGTTACTTGTTACTTAAATGCGTACAGATAAGAGCGATCTGTTTCTCTGTAAGAAATGTTGGCTACAACTGACATATATTTATTTATACATTAAAGTTCACATGTATAATAGCATTATTTTTCATGAGTAAAGGACTTACATTATAGAAGGATTTAGATGGCTTTTTTATCCCGTGTGATGACCATGCAAAGTCCTCAGCTATGTAAGCCTCCAGACTTCATTTCATTTGAGTTGGATTTGAGAAACTAGACCTTCAGGAAGTTTTTCACATTAAATCTACATTTAAAATGTCCTTACATTATCTAAAAATAAACAGCTGGTATTTTTCTAAACCAGCTAGCTATTCCAAAACAACTGTATCTTTAAAGCTTCCAAATAAGCCTAGAAATAAAAGGGCTTTGTTTTACAACCCTAGCTGAAAACCAAAGTAGGTTGTACACACGTGCACTCTGGGAAGCACTGACCTGTTGCCTTTTCGAGCTCTCTGAAGACGCCAGCAGATGTGAGTCTGTTTCTGTGGAGACGCTCTTGCCAGGCAGCTCCCTGGGTGTGGCTCTGTACATTGCTGCAGTATCTCACCCTCACCACCTGGGCCTAGTGATTCTCACCGTAGAAAGAGGATTTCTGATGGCAGAAATGTAGGAAAATAAGCACATGGAAGATGAACGGTTTGCTAAATCCAGGGCAAGCAAAGTTATACAAGAAAGGAAACAAAATTATGTATTCCATGGCCCAAGTATGAACAGTATTTATGATACAAAATAAAACACCAGTCATTTTTCTAACCAAAAAGTTACGTTTCTCCATATTTGGAAGAGTAAAAAGAGGAGAAGTGTATTTGGTTGGAAGTCAGAAAGGAGTTGTATAGAAGCTTGTTCTCGTTTTCAGTAGCAGGAAATCAACAGAATTTCTAGAACTGAAAAAACTTAAAAATACCAGTGTAAACATGCTAGTTGACAGTATACAGACAGAAAAAGAAGCAGGTAAAATAGTAGAAAGTGGTTTCTCTAGGAGTGGAGGGAAAGGAGAGTAAAGGGTTTACTGTTTTTCATTGTAAGTCTATAGAAATGTCTGACAGTTTAACAAGGCACTAGTTTAACAAGGCGCTAGTACTTTGATCGCATACCAGTTCTGGGCTCCACCTCTTTTCTCGTTGTCTGTGTTAATGATTCTCTGTGCACCAAGAACACACTGTTTCAGGGTAGTGATGTTTAGACCTTCTCTTTAAGCACACCTCGGGCGGCTGAGGGTAGCTGGAGGAAGCAGAGCTCTCTGCAGCCACGTGCTCCGATAAGCCGGCAGAAGCTGTGCTCCTGGAGCAGAGTACACAGTCCCTTCTGCAGCAGCACAGTGCTGTCACTCTGCTGCTACAATAAGCTTCACCTTTCCCCGAGTTTCTAGGAAAATGTACAGCCTACATTGCCATCTGGAATATACAAGAGGCCCCATGGAAGCAATGTAGCAAACAGCGCTTTGTAGGGCTGCCCAGTATGGAACCTTGAGGAATTCTATATCAAAGTTACTATTTTTTCTAGAGACTCACTTGGCATTATCTCTTATAAACCATGTCAACATATTTGGGGGGTGTTCTCAGAAGCCTTCAAAGCATACCTTCCTCATAAACCTAACAAACAAGTAAATATCATTTTTTTAAAGAATTTTTTATTTAGGGGCCAGCAGATGGTTAATGGTTATATCGCTGGACTCCCACATAGTCAACTGCTGTTCGAGTCCCAGACCCAACAGCTTAAAACTCATGCCAGGCACATGTGTGTGTATGCCCAAAGTCCTAAGAGAATGAAGGAAAAGGGATTGCAGTATGACCACCCCACCACCCCCCTGGAGGGTGACTTCTTGCTTTCTGTCTCTCTGTCTCTCCGGGGAGCGCACACACCCTACAGCAAAAATCTAAAAACAAAACCCCCAAAATAAAATTATTTAATTAATTTTATTTATCACCTTTATTATTTTTTAATTTGCTATAGGGCATGTGCAGAAAGAGAAAAACAGACAGAGAAAGAAAGTGACAAAGCAAGTTGCCAGGTCTGGGACTCAAACTGCAATTGGCCATGTGAGAGTCCAATGCCTTAACCACCACACCACCTGCTGACCTCAGTGAATACCATTTTAATGTATTTTATATTTTTTCTATTTCCTCTGTTCTTCTTAGAAGTGTTTGGATTAAAAGAACCTCCATTATATATAGGCGGGGGGCGGGGGGCTTCAGAAAGTTCATGGTAAATGTGTATTATGAAGAAAATATGCAGGTCAGTTGGTGGTGTGGTGGTTAAGGCACTGGACTCCCATGTGGCCAACCATGGTTTGATGCCTGGACCTGGCAGCTTGAAACTCATAAACTCATGCCAGGTGTATATGTGTGTGTGCCCAAGATCCCAAGAGGAGAAGGTATTGTAGCATGGCCATCCTCTCTGGGAGGTGATTTCTCACTTTCTGTCTCTCCAGTGAGTGCATGTAGCCTATAGCAAAATCTCTTAAAAAACAAACAAACAAACAAAAACAAAACCAAAAAAACTACAAGGATTTAAAATTTTTGCATCAAAATAAATTCATGTTTAATTCTATTCTTCCTCATCCTGTCAAAAACTAGTCCTATATAAGTCATAAAATTGTTTTAATAGAAAAGTGGCATTCTCCTTTTCAGTAGAATCTGCTGTCACATCCCAGTCTCTGGCATAGAGGCTTTGAACTGAGTACACTGGTATGGGGGCGGGGAGGCAGGAATGGCTCTGAAAGTAAACTCTCTGATCCGCTTTTTCCTGCTTTCCCTCTAGGAGGAGATCACTTTTCAAAAAGCTAGCCAAACAGCCTTCTCCTTTACTTCACACCAGCCGAAGTTTCTCCTGCTTGAACCGATCCCTGTCATCAGGAGAGAGCCTCCCAGGATCCCCCACTCACAGCCTGTCCCCTCGTTCCCCTACACCAAGCTATCGCTCTACTCCTGACTTCCCGTCTGGTGAGTGAGGCCCCTGGTCTAGACAGAAAGAGAACTGAGAGGAGTTGATATCATCTTCTTAAACTCCAGGGAACGTGAGGCTTATTCCAGCTGACAGAAGGCAGTCTGAGGGTGTAAATGACATGGACAGGATTTACAAGAGGTCATTAGATGGGGATATCCTACCATTAAAATGAGGCAAGACATGTGGGGCTTGGTGTGGGAGGCTTCTCTGAAAAGTGTATCCCTCCGTAGTTAGATGCCAAGATCATTCACTACCCTTTAGCTGCCTTGCCTGCAACAGCCAGGACTAGAAGTATGGAAAGAAAAGGGAAGATGATGGCAGATGCTCACAGTGTTCTGTTTTCCACCCACAGGGACTAATTCCTCCCAGAGCAGCTCCCCAAGTTCCAGTGCCCCCAACTCTCCAGCAGGGTCCGGGCACATCCGGCCCAGCACCCTCCATGGCCTGGCCCCCAAACTTGGTGGCCAGCGATATCGTTCTGGAAGGAGGAAGTCGGCTGGTAGCATCCCCCTCTCCCCACTGGCCCGGACACCTTCTCCAACTCCTCAGCCCACCTCCCCACAGCGGTCACCGTCCCCTCTGTTGGGACACTCATTGGGCAACTCCAAGATTGCTCAAGCCTTCCCCAGCAAGATGCACTCCCCACCCACCATTGTCAGACACATCGTGAGACCCAAGAGCGCGGAGCCCCCACGGTCCCCGCTGCTCAAGCGCGTGCAGTCCGAGGAGAAGCTGTCACCCTCCTACGCCAGTGACAAGAAGCACCTGTGCTCCCGCAAGCATAGCCTGGAGGTGACCCAGGAGGAGGTGCAGCGGGAGCAGTCCCAGCGGGAAGCACCGCTGCAGAGTCTGGAGGAGAGCGTGTGCGATGCACCAGCCCTCAGCCGAGCCCGGCCAGTGGAACAGGGCTGCCTGAAACGCCCCGTCTCCCGGAAGCTGGGCCGGCAGGAGTCCGTGGACGATGTGGACCGGGACAGGCTGAAGGCCAAGGTGGTGGGGAAGAAACCAGAGGGCTTCCCAGAGAAGCAGGAGGCCCACCAGAAGCCTCATGGGCTTGGGAATGATCTAGAAAACCTAGCCATTTTCCGGCTAGAAGAGAGAGAGAAGAAAATCTACCCGAAGGCTCTGGACAGGCCAAGTCCTTACGAGAGTAAGGCGGCCATGCAGGAGGGCCCATCCCTGGGCAGCCTCCTG